TACACCGTTAGAGGCCCTATTATGCTTTTTGGGGATTTATATATAGTTGTTTGTGCATTGAAGTCTGCAAAGGCTAAAATTCCAAAGTTCCCTACAGAGGGAGGTTCTCTCTCACACGCAACAATTGTAGTCCTTTGTTTATTTCCGCGACCAAGTGATATCATTGTGTTACACTTGTGCTTCTATTGGCTAGCGCTCCACACACTTTTTTCTAATAATTTCTTCCCATCACAAGGCGGATTGTGACATCCCAAGGCTAAGGGGCGGGACACCTCTTAGCGGTTTATCATTACAGAGCCGGCCAGCTAACCAATTAGTGTAGGCTGACCTCACAGGATGAGAACATTAAAGCATGTAAACATGCCACAGGAGAGGCACAATATACAATTGTGAAACCTGTACATTTGCATAATAGGGCCCCTTTAAATCTCTCTTTCTCTTTTTCTCAACTTAAGTCATTTGACTTCCCTCTTTCTCCTACCCCCGCCATAATTTTCCTTTGTTAGCCTCCTTCCTGTCCATCACTGTAGCATTAAGAAGTCAGCTCTATGAACACATCAGTGTCAATGTGTCACCGCAGTCATGCTGCCGCTGCTAAGCGTGTAGGAAGCTGTCCATAGATTTTACATACTGTAGGCCGTACCAGCTCAACACAAATAACAGTATTGCTATCCCATTAAAGGAATTGACGTCTTCTTTGTCATAAAAGGTTGCAAGGAGAGGTTTTTCACCGTCTTTGCGAGATCCTTTGTCCGAGGAGAAATGGCTATGTTGTGTTCCACTTTTAAGGTGTAAATCATCTTTTTGCCTCCCCCCCAACAAGTTCACACTGCGTATTACTAACCCTGCCCATTCTCTCCTCCACTCTCCCCCCCACCTGCCTATTGGATGGCCCATAGAAGAGCCCACCTGTCGGCCAGGTTTGTCCCCTTTCTGTCTCCTTAGCTCGCACTATGAGCAAGGCAGCACTGTGCTGTCTCACTGCCTGCCCATCAGCATTTCATTATCCCTGCTTTATAATTAGTAGCATTCAAATTTGATCCTTTAATACGGAAATCAAGATAATTAGTCATATTGTTAGCAAACATGCCACATTGCATGATGTGGAAGAATTTGGAAGCTGCTAACCTCAGGTTGTTCACTATTTTCTCAGAAATATATAAGCATAACAACTGTGAATTCAACTGGGCTGATTTTTGATTGGACACGTTTCAGCCGAATCTTTGCACACTTACCCCTCACCTCAACTCCTCATTCACCCCAATCCCTGCTGCTAGCTGCATGCTTCATCCTCCTCATACACACCACACACAAGAACACACACACGCACTGATGCCTTGGAGGTATCGAGTGGCCACTCACCTGGATCTAAGTGCTCCCCATGGACTGCGTGCCTAATGATGTGTCCTCAGCATGAGCTTTACTTACCTATTTACATCAATGCACTCTAATAGTGTTAGGTAGCCTTCCCTGTTCGCGTTCTTCACAGATTTTATCGTCAATCGTTCTATTCATATACATGTCAAAAAGCTGGAACTGAGTACTTTTTACTTGAGTCACCGCCACTTTCACTTTTCAATCATACCTTTGCTGGTCGAAAATAGTGTGGAGCATTAAATAACCTCGGCTCACTTTAATTGCGTTCCTTGAGGTTGCACTTATCTGCCGATTCAGAGCAGTCGCCTTGCATTCAGCCCGCCTGTTAGCCTGCAGTCAAATCTGTAATGCGCTTCACTAGAAACGTCTAAGCAGCCACCCCTAGGGCCGGTGTGTGTCTGTGCACACATCTTTCTGAGCTACCCAACCCCCCTCAACCCCCCTTTTTTTCCCTTTTACACACACACACACACACACACACACACACACACACACACACACACACACACACACACACACACACACACACACACACACACACACACACACACACACACCCACAGACACCTATCTGTACGTATGTGTATGTGCTAGTGAGCAGGGTCTGGTGTGGTTACTTTGTGTCACTGAAGACTTAATGAGGCGAATAAGAAGCTTTTAGAGTCAATGGAGGTGGATAATGTGTCTGAGGGTTCACTCGTGTGTGTGTGTGTGTGTGTGTGTGTGTGTGTGTGTGTGTGTGTGTGTGTGTGTGTGTGTGTGTGTGTGTGTGTGTGTGTGTGTGTGTGTGTGTGTGTGTCCTTGCCACCGGCTAGCAATATTGTTGTTCTCTTCTGCCCTGCTGCACCTGAACGAATAAGCTACAGACTAGCCTAGCGTTTCTGTTGTTGTGTCTGCGCTAATGCTCTGGACTATAGCTCTTCACTTGTATTGCTAACTGGTATCACAGCTCAGCTTTTACTAAACAAGAGAATGAACACATTTGTATATACAGTGGGGCAAAAAAGTATTTAGTCAGCCACCAATTGTGCAAGTTCTCCCACTTAAAGAGATGAGAGAGGCCTGTAATTTTCATCCTAGGTATACTTCAACTATGAGAGACAGAATGGGGGGAAAGAATCCA